TTTGCACTCCCAGACTGGCTTTTATATTACAGAGCAGCATCTCTGATGTGGCTAAAAGAATGGATCACACTAGAGAATACAAGACTATTGAATTTGAAAGGTCATGATCTTTTATTAAGTTGGCACACATTCGTATGGTGTGGAAGAGCAAGTTCACATAAATATTCTAAGCAATACCTTATTAGATCTTCCTTATTGAAGGTATGGGAAGAAATTAAAAGTCGCTTTTATACAAATGGGTGGCATCATTGGAAGCTTTTACAAACCCTAATTTATTTCAAATAGATGTATTGTTAAGATATGAAGATTTGCTAGACAACAAAACTGAACTAAAACCAACTGAAAGTTTAATATGGTGGGAAAGAGCACAAATAGTTAAGATACACTAAGGATACGTCAATGGGCTTCTACGTAAAAATAACAGAAATGGATAAGATATTGTTGTATTCTGATGAGAAATTGATTAAGAAATTGTATGCATTATTGTTAGACAATAAGACCCAAGATAAAATAGTTAAAAATTCTATGGTAAAATGGGCACAAAACTTGGGACACAATATTGACTTGGATCAGTAGTCACAGGTGTGTGGGGGGAAATGTAAAGTTAACCAAAGCAATTTCATATAAAATATTTATAAAATGTTCTATAGATGGTATATCACCCCAGATAAACTTGCAAAGAGCTATCCTAACTTATCAAATGTATGTTGGAAATGTCATAACAATACTGGGTCCTTCTATCATATGTGGTGGCTGTGTGATGAAGTGAAAAAAATATTGGTTTTGGATTCATAAAATTTTACAAAAAATGTTAAAAAGTCCTTTGTACAAGAATTATTTTTATTGAATATATTACCAGAAAATTGTAAAAAACCAGGATTTTTATCATATAATACATGTAATAACAGCAGCAAGAATATTTTATGCTAAATATTGGAGAAGAAATGAAGTACCTTCAAAAGAAGAATTCATAAATAAAATTTTGGAAACTGCTGAAATGAACAAACTAACTCTAATTTTGATAGGAATACCAGAGACAATCTTTCAAAATACATGGTCAAGATTTTATAAATGAATTGAAGAATATAACAAATAAAACATACAAACATACAATCTATTTAAGGAAAAAAACCTTTTAAAAAAGGTGAAATATACAAAATCAATGTTTTGTTATGAGAATTGTAAACAAGAAATGTAAGGAGGTAATAGATACCCTAATTTTATGTTATGTTTGTCTTTAAAAATAAAAATTGTTTATTAAAAAGAGAGAGAGAGAGAGAATAAGGAATGAGTGAGACCCTGGCTTATTTTGGGTATTGCTGAGGCACGATTCGGTGTTATTTCTAAATCAGCCCAATATTGTTCATTAAAGTACCCTGTATTTCCCATAAATTAATCTCTGCCTTCCCTTTTCATTCTGTATCCTAACTACTCTTTTCTGACCAGATGTATATAAAGAAGCTGATGGAGATAATCACTGTAGAAAACCCCAGAATGCCCTATGAGATGAAGGAGATGGCCCTGGAGGCCATAGTTCAACTCTGGAGGATCCCTGGCTTTGTCACTGAGCTCTATATCAACTATGACTGCGACTACTACTGTGCTAACCTTTTTGAAGACCTCACCAAGCTGCTCTCCAAGGTGCTGAAAGTAGCCACTTTGCTGTTTTCTTCCACATAAGCGTATATACATTTGAGCACTGTAGAAAAGGAGAGCTGGCTAGTACTTCACAGCAGCAGAGATGCTTGCTGGTGTTCTTTGTGAGGAGCAAGTCAAACTGCCTCCAGAGATGTTTGGGGTGGAGGGAACAATAGACAAATTCCTGGGTTGGAGCTCTCCAGATTATGTGTGTGAAGCACTGCATGTTTGGAGAGATAAGCATTAAATTATCTGTGCTTGATTTACCAGAATGCCTTTCCTGTTTCTGGACAACTGTACACTACTCACCTACTGTCCCTTGAAGCATTGTTGACAGTGATTGATAGCACAGAAGCACAATGCCAAGCCAAAGTACTGAGCAGCATCTACCAGCAGGAGAAGGATGCTCTGAGACTGAAAACAGAAATTGCTTCAGGTATCAAAGAAACAAGCCATCGTAAACTTTCCATTTGATGTCTGCATCTTAACTTCTGTCCCGCCTTTTTGAATTCTAGACCAGATGGCGATCTTCTCTGATAGTTGCTCCATTCTGTGTGTGGGATGGGGCCTAGTCTAGAGGCTGTTGTGCCAGAACCTCTTTAACATGTCTGTCATCTTTGGGTGTTTTGTCAACAAGGCTTTAATCCACCAGTTTCCTTTTTAGCTTTGTAAGTAAATTTGAGTAGGCTCTTGCCCACGAAATAATAATTCCATTTCTCCTAAGGCAAGCGCCTAAAATTCCTCAAAGTGAGTGAATTTATCTACAGCATAACATGGTGAATTTATTTTTTGTCCTCTGTCGATAACTGTAGTCTACCTCTTTCCGTTGTAGTTGCTGAAGGGCAACTGACAGAAGGTAACCTCCCCATTTCGGAATTGTTAGAGGTGCGCCCATCCACAAATGGCTGCTCAGTGACTGACCACACGAAGCCGCAAGGCTGTCTGTATGTGGAGGGTGGAAACGATGCAGGTAAATCTTGATGAATATTTGTGTGCTGTGGACACCTCTGATGACTTCCCTCCTCTTCCTTGCCTGTCTGCAGTTGTGCTGTGGCTAGTGATTGTGCAGTTGCATTTGGTGTTGTTCATACTGTAGGAGAGTAGGCGGCAAATGGTTAACTTTGGTCAGAAAAGGCTTGCCCTGGCCTCCAGGCGACAGGCTATCTCGCGCAGCCCTCTTGCTGTGCCCTCAGCAAAAAGCAGGGAGTTTGGCTGCTTTCTAGCCCTAAGCAGAGAGCTCAAAGATGTTTTCCTTTAAAATGTATCACTTTATTGTTTCTCTTCTCTTTTTTTGTCTTTGTTCAATTACATTACATTAGGATAGAAACGGTAATGAATTTCCAAGCTTGTTAGCCCGTCAGTGTTCTACATTGAAGATGGGTTTGGATGAAGGTGGTTAAAATGTCTCTGGGCCTCTTTATATGTTACAGTAGAAGCTGGTATACATTAACGAGTGAGCGTGCACACCCTTTTCTGTCCCATAATGTGTGAAACATTTGTGCACCTCTTTCTCCCTCCCTCAGCTGTGACTCCTCATATTGTGTTTCCACGATTTCCTCCAAAAAAAAAAGGCTTGTACATTACATAGAGGAGGGTGTTTTACTGTGCATCCACTTCTGCTGAAATGTGTGAAACAGTCCCGTGCAGGTTTTGCTAGGTCACAGTGTTGCTCCCTGTGGATTAATATTCTCCTGCAGGGCTGATGGCTGACAAAGAAAATGGTGCTGTTGGGTTGGTGTAGAGGGGAGGTGGTAGCATACTACAATAAACAGCACTATCTGTTGTGAAGGATCTACCAAGAAAGAACCCTGTTTTTGTTTTCAGTGGAGAAGACCACGCCGAGGAAGCCTACTCGCTTTTCCTGCCTCCTGCCTCCAACAACTGAACTGATAAAGATTAAGAGTAAAAAGAAGGTATGAGCTCTTCTTGTGGTTTCTGAAATGCGTACAGTATGCCACAGATGCTGCTCTCAGCTTTTAACAGAAGGGACACTGGGTGTGTGAGGAAAGCGGAGAAGCAAGAGGATGCAGAGGAAGAAATGAGATCCGAGAGTGCCTGAGGAATAGACGAGTCTTCAGTGAATGTTTAAATACTCTGCAGTAGAAGGAGGCAGGGTGTCTCAGTACAGCAGAAGAGGAAGAGACTGCTGAAATGGCTCTGTAGACTTGGGCTACGGAAGCAGAGGCTTGAAGGGAGCGTAGGGCAAGAAGGGTGCGTGGAGAGAGAGAAAAAGAGGGGAGTGGCTACATGGAGGGTAACAAAAACCACCAGGAAACTGTCTCATTGTTTCATTCGTTGATTTAGAACACTTTCAGACCACTTTTCTGAAGTGCTCAAAGCAGTTTACAAAAAAAAAGAAAATGGTTCACGTCTACATGAGGTAGTGGGTACAAGTGACATCAGGAAGGGAGCTTTTTTCTTCCACTGGTATCATGCTCATAAATCAGACCTGAATTTAAGTCTTCAGCTTTATCTTTTGCTGCTTTCTGTTGGGTTCCACCAACATCTCAATTTTGAGGGCAATTAGAGGACCCCCCCCCCCCCCAATGTGCACTCTGTGGGTCGTGACTGCTGACTATGCTGTGCTAGTACAGGACTGAAACACAGCACTGGAATGATGCATCCATCTTGACTGAGAGCATCCTGTATGAGCACATCCTGACATCCAGCCCTTTATTACTATTTCCTTTGTTTTTCAGCACAGGTTAAGAGAAGCAGGGCAGAGCTAGAGTGAATCTGTCCCTGGGTGTTTCAGCTGCTTGTGTTGTATAGCTTCACAGAAGGCTGAGCTAATTTCCTCTTTTCTAGGTGTCTCAATTATGTGATCCATTAGAAATTTTAATGCAGGCAGGCACGCTGTTTGCTGATAAAAGGTGGTCATTCTCGCAATGGGGGTTTTACATTGGGAATGCTGTCACCTGCTCTTATTGAGAATTCACATTCTGGTGGCTAAAATTTGTACCTGGAGTCATGTTTGAGAAGTAAACCTTGGCTGGGGAAACAAGGAGAGATGAGGGACGGTGTCACACTCGCCAGGAGTGTTGTTTCTTGCTAGTGATGGGCAGTATCTGAGAACTGACATTTATTCTGGTGCTTTAGTAAAGTTCACGTTGGTGTTTGTGTTGGATCTCTAGACACACACAACCTTTAGTTAACCCTCTCTTGGGTGGTTGCTTATGACATTATACACTTGTGTTACCTATTTGAGAGCCTTAGAAACCAAGTTCTGGTAAATGTGAAGAACAGTTAAAGTGCCTACCAAGTGCTTACTCAGGAACTGGCCACCATCCTTTGGGGAAAAAATCCCTGTGACCTTGTTGCCTTCCTGTGATTCTTTCTAATACTCCTGGTACAACGGTTAGTGGTATTCCATTTGAAAAAGGCTGCAGAGATTTGTTATATTCCTTTATGATCCGTCTCTCTAACAGCTGCTTAGATTGTTAAACTTGCTAAGTGGGAGACGTCTGGTTCTGAATGCACGGCTGCTCATCTCTGTGTCATTTTAAGGACGTTTCTTTCACCTTCAGATTTCATTCTGGACACCCGAGGAGCTGGTTTTTGCTTCTGATTGTTGTGTGTGGAAAAGTGACATCTGAAAACAGTCAGGCTTTGGTTTCTGCCCTATGAATGTACTGATTCAGAAGACTGACATAGGTTCAATGATTAGTAGGGATGTGCACAGACCTGAACAACAAACCAAAATCCAGGCCGAGCATTGCCTTCTTTGGGGCTCGGACGGACTGGCTTGAAGGTCACGTGTCTCTGGAAGCTCAAGTGCCCGAATTTTGTGCGCTCAGCTCGGAAGCATTCAGCTACTTTCGCCAGAGAAACCCCACCCCCGCCGTTTCGCGCTGAAAAGCAGGTGTGAGTGGGATTTTTTGGGCATCGAGGGACCAGTGCCGGGCACCTGAGGCCGACAGGCATTTCCAATTTTCAATCAGAGACGTCCATCCTTCTCCCTCAGAATCGGAGGGGTATTCCCAGGTGGCGCGTTACTGTCCTTTGTTTCACGTCGTGGTCTCTTGCAGTGCAATGCTCCTTTTGCACACTGAAAAAATTCGTCATGGGCCTGGGTTTGGGGGGAAATTTACTGGGGTCACTGGGTGGGTGGGTGGGTGGGCAGAGAAACCAGCTGGATCTCCTGGCAATGATACCAGTCGCCAGATGAAAAACATCCTCCCCTTCCCTCTTCACTCCGTTTCCCCCCTTTCTGTGTTTCTCTGCTGCCATTCCTGGTCGCTGCCTGCCTTTTCTCTCTCCCATGCGAGGGGTGGGAAACTGGGATTGAATTCTTTTGCTTTCACAACGCGGTTTTGGTTTGACTCCAGGGTTGCCTGTTTCCTTGGCAAGTCAAGCAGCGGAGCCACCCCACCCCTTCTGTGGGTTCTGCAAGCAGCTGTTCTCTCTGCCCACTGGCAGTGGGGCTTGACTTTTCTGCTCATCCCAAAAGGACATCCACTCTCCCCTTGCCAGTTGGTGACCAACCATCCAACCACGCTTGGGGGTGAAACTAGTGACTGCCCTTAGGCTGTGGGTTGTCTCCCCTTTCTGCATCCTGCCTTCCTGGGTTAGTGAAGTCCCTCAACTCAGAGTTCCTTCTCTCCCCCCCCCCTCCATTCGCCCCTCAGCGACCAAGTCTCAAACCACCTTCTGGGGCGGGGAGCTGGCACTGGCAAAGTCCCCTGGGCACAGGCCGTGGGTCCTCTCCCCCTTCTGCTCCCTGCCTCCCTGGGTTGCTGAAGCCTCTCCCCTCTGAGTTCCTTCTCTGTGGGCGACCAAGTCTCAAACCACCTTCTGGGGTGGGGAGCTGGCACTGGCAAAGTCCCCTGGGCACGGGCCGCGGGTCCTCTCCCCCTTCTGCTCCCTGGTTTCCTGAAGCCTCTCCCCTCTGAGTTCCTTCTCTCTGGCCGGGAAAGTGGGCACCCCACTCTCTAACCATTTCCTGGGGGAGGTTTGCAGACTGCCCTTGGCACTGACTTTCTTCTTTGAAAGAGCACCCCCCCCTTCCTGCTTGGGTCACTGCGGTTTCCAATTTGGCAGTTCCTTCTCTCCCATGGTAAGTAGGCACCCCACTCTCAAAGCAATTTCTGGGGGGGGGGCTAATTGTCCTTGACGCCGACTGCGGGGCTTTCCTTCACTACCTCTGCCAAAATACAGAAACCCTTCTCCCTGGGTGGGTCGAGTCTCTGCCTTCAGCCCCCCTCCTCTGCCAACGAGGCTCCCAACCCACATTTCCGCACGACTTGAGCAGCCACTCTTTCACCCCCACTACCTTACGTGTGGGGACATGAGGGGGGGAGCCCCAAGGGGCCATGGGCAGATGGGACGTGGGCAGATGGGAAGACAGGGCACACTCTGACCACGTGGTGGGATACGGCCGCATTCCCCCTCCTGCCTGGGGACATGAAGAGCCCCCCCCCCCCTGCTGGGGGACTTCGTCAGCGTCCTCTGCGTCAGGTTCCCCTGCAGCATCCATGGGGCTGGTCTTGGTCACCAGATGAGAGCACACACACACACACACACACACGGTTTCAGGTGGGCCACAGGGGCAAAGGACACGTGAGAGGGAGGAGACCACCGTTGCTAGTGGTGAGGGCGGTGATGATGGCTGAAGCATGTCAATCTAGTTCCGTGCCCGGGGATTCCCGGCCGCAATCACCCGCCTGTCCCTCAACTATCGGTACACAGGGGATCAGTCCAGGGTCTGAGTCTGGGAAACGGTTATGTCTGAAAAGTGCCCTGCTGACGGGCGTGGGGGCACGGCCGCAGTCTGCTGCGTGGAAGTACTTCTGCATCCCACCTGGTGATCACTGTGTGAGTGAGTGCCAGGTGTGCAGGGTACATGTTCATCAGGCGAGAGATCCGCATCACTTAACCACTAACATTCTACAGAGGCACTTGTGTCGGTCGCACACCAATTTGACTCTGCCAGAGGGTGGACCCCCGAGCCTGTAGCCACTCCTAGTCGATGGGGAGGCCGGGAGGGGCGGGCCGCCACGTTGGGGTCTCTGGCCTCCCCCATATGGGTCCCCCCAGGCAAACCACCCTTCACGAGGTCATGCTCGTCGGGTCCTCCCCAGCGCCTGGAAAAAGGACGAGGGGGCAATCACTCAGCTCATCGGACGAATGGTCGCCCTGGATGGCCAGCCTTTCTCACTGGCGGAGGCTTTCGGGGGCTCCTACGATGCATGGCCCTGTGGTACACCATTCCCTCCCGAAGGACCATGAGCCGGCATGTGCTGCCCGCCATGTCCGCGGTGCGTCTGGTGAAAGCCGAGTTAGCCAAGGCATGAGGGAGAACGGTCCAGCTGATGGCCGACCTTTGGAGCGGCCAGCACCATGGCTACCTCTCCCTCACCGTACACTGGTGCCAACCCGAGGAGTTCCAGGGTGGGCAGTGGGACCCTCTGCACCAAGTGGGAGCAAGCACGCTTCCGTCTGGCATGGCATGGACATGGAGCACGGAGCACATGTCGGTGAATATCTCCGCGGCCATTTGGAGTAGCCTGAAGATCTGGTTTGGGGGGAAACAGATCACCCATGGCTACCTGGTTACTGACGGTGGCCCAAACATGCGTAGGACTGCCAAAAAAGCCAAACTCAGATATGTTGTCTGCACAGGGCAGAAGATTCAACTGGTAGTGAAGGATGCCCTGGGTCTGGGGAGCAATGCCATGGCTGGGGAGGGCACCGCCGAGAACTGCCAGCTCTTGGCGGGTCACTTCTCGAGAAGCATCAGGGCTTCACGGCCACTGAGAGAGAAGCAGGCTGAGGCAGCCAAGCCGGAGCACGTCCTCCTCTAGGACATCGGCACCCAGTGGAACTCCACCTACGCCATGATTGCCAGTTTGGTGGAGCAGAAGACGATGGTCCAGGACGTCCTGTTCTCCCTCGAGTCAGGGCTCTGGTCGAC